CATTTGTCCTAAGGCAAGGTGGAGACATACACTTCAAAGGGTAGGGTTTCTGTCTACAGAGTCCATTTTCAGGTTGGGGAATAGCCTACAGCTCTTCAGGTGTTTGACCCAGAGGAGGCAAAACCATGTAGATGAAGATCCCCTGAGCTGTCTGGCAGTAAATATCCATTTAATGCATCCCTTTCAGGTTTGGGGAAATGCCTTCAGCCATTCCCAACAGGTGATAACATATGTGACTCAGTCCTTGTCCAGTCCATCAGCCTTTTGATGACACCCTTGCAAGGATGACATGCTGGAGCTGGCTTCCGGCAGCCACCGCTGGGGCTTTTTAAACCTCATACACTTAGGATACACGGCATTTATACAGCCACGTGCCATTCCGTCAAGCACACGAGAAAATGATGTGATCGAGAGACAAGATAAAAATGAGCTGTGTGAAGCTGTTTTACAGCAAAGTTTTTTGTAAGTAAAGAGTATACTCTAAAACAGCAATAAAAAGTATGGTAGAGCCAACAGAGAACGCAGCAACCCAGTCCTTCATCACCATTACCCAGTGTTACACGCTGCACTAATTATATGTGCTGTGCTTTCATGAGATTTTATAGCTTTGTTTTCAACAGCATCACCACAAGTCCAAGCTCAGGGTTCCTGGATCCTACTTCCTGGCTTGCAGACCAGACGGCCACCTTCTCGCTGCCCCCTCCCTGGCAGAGGGCAAGGGAGCGCTGGTGTTGACTCCTCTCCTTCCTCAGGGCCCCTCCCATCACAGGGCTCCATCCGTGACCTCTTCTGGCCCGAAGCACCAGAGGCCCCGCCTCCTCATACCATCACACAGAGGGCTGGGCTCCGACAAGCAGGTTTGGGGAAGGGGATCCCAAACATTCCGTCTACAGCAGGCCTTGGATCGCAGGGTCAAAGCCTCCTCCCCCAGCGCCTGGCTCGGTGTCTGACTGAATGAGCCCGGATTGAGTTGGGGGGGGGGGCGGGGGAAGAGGCTGTCGTTGGGTGTTGGGGACCTGGGACCTGGCCCCTTTGGATGTCGGTCATGGAGCGACAAGACAACCGCCAGCTGGCTTGGCATGGATGCTAGAGAAACAACTCGGGGTCAAAATAAGACACCATCCGAGTTCCTTACTAGTTCCCTGGAGGGGAGGGGAGGGGAGGGATAGGGAGGGGAAAGGTAAGGGGACCAAAAGGATGCAACATCCCACGTGGGGTGGGCCCTGCTGCAGGCAGGTTGGAGCGTGGGAGCCTGGGTTCTCCGGGGGCTGCTGTTGGCCAGGCCTCCTGGAGGACCAGCAGCCCCTGGGAGCAGAGAAGCAGAGCCCAGGCCTCTGTGACACGCTGGGAGCCAAAGCCGCTGGGTGGTAGGAGTTGTGATTTTTGCCTCCTGCTCATCAGAGTGCCGGGACCCATCAGGGCAGCACCAGGGAGCTCGGACCTCGGACAGCCAGCGGCAAGCTTGGAGCTGAGTGACCTGAGGCACGTCTTCCACATTGCCCGCCACGGGGATGTTCCTGGAATGCTGTTTTCCAGGGCACGGAAACCCAGGCTGTCTCCTGACCACACCTGCCTGCTGCACAGCCGGCCTCTGGCCTAGAGATGGGGAGGAAGTGTTTTCACCGTCAGCAGGGAAGGTCCTGTCAGGCTGGTCAGCTTGTCAGGAGACCTCTGCTGTCCTGTCTGCCCCCCGTACCCTGAGGACCAAATGACCATGAGGCGGGGAGAAAGTCCACTCCACGCTCCCGCCCAGCCGTGTCCCGGAGCCCAGGGCTCCTTGCACAATCCACGCTGGAGCCTGTTTACTTCAGGGGAAGCTGGGAGGCCTCACCGACAGCTGGGCCTGCGTGTGGCCGGGTCCTCCCGGGAGGAGGCCAGCAGCTTCCGAAGTGGCTGGAAGGAACGCAGCTGCTCCTCAGCCCTCCGCGGGCCGGCCCCGGATCCTCGCCCAGACCACTGGGAACTGTCGTTAGTGACTACTTTCCCGATTCAGAAAGAATGTGCTCTTTCAGCCCGGCTTGTAATAGCCCAAACCCGGAAACAACCCAAATGTCCCAAAACAGTACAATGGATAAATATATTACTTATTTCGTGGAAAACGACACAATGGTTACAGCAAGGAAAATGGGAGAACCGCAGCTTCATGCAAGCACGTGGATGAATCTCACAATTATAACATGGAGCCCAAATCAGAATATTCAAAAGGTGACAGAGAGTGTGATTCCCCGGGTGTGAAGTTCCGTGACAGGCAAACTACTGTTTTGTGTAGGGATGCATCCATGAACGGTTAAAGAGAAAGCAGGAGAATGACAGAGGAAGAAGAAAGAGGTTTGGGGAAAGGCTTCTGGTAATATTAATATTTCTTGCGCTGGATGGGTATTCGCTTTATAAATACCCATTAAGTCATATGGTTGTATGGTAGGCACTTTGCAGTATGCAGTATTTCATAATCAACGATTTTAAAAGTTAGATACAAAAGGATAACCTATGCCCATGATAATCTGCCTTTTCTGACTCAAATGCAAAATCAAATCTAGTGTTTACGGAAAACTAGCAAGCATCATTGAAAGAAATTAAAGATGACTCATTGAATGGGAAGACATCCCATGTACATGGATAAGGTGTAACTCCATTAAGACAGCATTATTCCCCCAATTTATCTGCAGATGCAATTCAGCCCCTGTCAGAATCCCAGCAGGCTCTATTCGCGGAAATGGTGAAATGCTGATCCTGAAATTGATACGGAATTGCCAGGGACTCCAAACAGCTAAAACAATACTGAGAAAGAAAAGCAACGTTGGTTCCTGATTTCAAAACGCACTCCAGTGCGATAGGAACCCAAACCATGTGGTGCTGGCAAGAAAGGAAACTTGGCTGTACATCTTCACGAGTTTGGATGAGGCAATGGTTTCTTAGAAATAACACCAACAGCCCAGCAAACAAAGAAAGAAGCAGGTCATGTGGACATGGACAAAATAAAAACTCTGTACTTCACAGTGCACTACCAAGAAAGTGATAAGGTGACCCACAGAATGGAAGAAAGATTCTGTAAATTAACCTGGTAAGTTTCTAGTGTTCCAGAATATCTAAAGAGCTCTTCAGCTCGACTCCATAACAAAAAGACAAACTCAATTTAAAAATAGGCAAGGGAGCCCAGCCAACTTGGCTCAGTGTTTGAGCTTCGACCTTTGAACCCCAAGGTCCCGGTCAGATTCCTGGTCAGGGCACATGCCTGGGTTGAGGCTCGATCCCATGTGAGGGGCATGTAGGAGGCAACAGATCAATGAGTGTCTCTCATCATTGATGTCTCTCTTTCCTTCACCCTCTCCCTTCCTCTCTAAAATCAATAAAAATATTTTTTAAAAACTTTTTTAAATAAAAATAGGCAAGGGAATTGAATGGGCATTTCTCCAAAGAGGATATGCAAATGACCAATATGCGTATGAAAAGAAGTTTCATTATTAGAGAAATGCAAATCAAAACCACACTGTAACACCATTTGACACCCACTAGGATGTCAAAAAAGCAGATGGTCAAGTGTTAGGAGAGTGTGAAGACATTGGAACCCTCATACGTTGCTATAGTAATATAAATGGTGCAGCCACACAAAGTTCAACATTGAGTAGCCATAGGACCCAGCAATTTCACTCCATGAGAACTGAAAATGTATGTCCACACAAAAACTTATTCATCAATGTTCATAGCAGCCTTATTTATAACAGCTAAAAAGTGTCCAAATGTCCACCAGCTGATGAATGGGAAAACAAATGTGGTCTATGCACACGAGGGAATATTGTCTGGCCATAGAAAGGAATAAAGCACTGAGACATACTACAACATGGATGAACCTTGAAAACATGCTACATGGAAGAGGCCCGTGATGGAAGTCTGATTCCATCTGTGAGCTGTCTGGAACAGGCGGATCCGTAGACACGGAAGGTAGATTGCCAAGCGCTGGGAGGGAGAAGGGGAGAGAGATGGGCAGTGACCGCTAATGGGGCTTTTTCTTGGGGTGATGACCATATTGTGGACTGCGACAACGATGATGGTCACACCAACTTGTGAACACACGAAAAGCTACTGAATTGTACACTGAAAAGTGCCCGTTTTATGGTAAGGTATATCTCAATTAAAAATATGAAATTATTAAAAAAAATAAATTGGAATGGCTTCTTTGTTTTAAAAATTACATCTATGCGACTCTTTTTTTTTTTTTTTTTTTTTTTTTAAGATAGTGTGCTCCTTGTAAGAAAAATGGTCACACCCTCTCCCGGGAGGAGTAGCCACCACACTCTGTGGACACTCTGTACCCTGCTTAGGAGAGGAGGATCCCAAGTGTATTTTTGTTACCAGTGGAAGGAATGCCTCCACCCCCCGCCCAACACACACACACACACACACACACACACACACACACTCACACACACACACACGCACACACACACACACACACACACACACACACACACACACACGCATGCCGGCTGGAAGGATGGGAGGTAATATTAGCCCTAAAAATGCAAGCCCTTGGCTCCCAGGACAGGCGCCCCGGCCATCTGGTGAGAGCAGGGGCAGCCTCTCAGGAGGGCGGGGCTCCAGGTCCGGAAGCCCGACCACCCACCGGACTTGGGCGCAGCAGGGAGGGGCGGGGTGTGAAATTGTTCGAGGGGCACGTGGAGCGGGGCTGGCACTCGGGGCGGGGCTAATAGGTGGGCGTGGGGCGTGATTGGCAATTGGGGCGGAGCTAGGGCGGGGTGTGGGCGTGGCCCTGCGCCGCGAACGGGGCGTGGGGAGGTTTGTGAACTGCGCGGGGCGTGGCTTGAGGGCGTGGGCGGGGCCAGGGGCGGGGCCAGCAGCCCGGGCGGGGCGAGGGGCGGGGACTGGGGCCGGGACTGAGCCGCTGGCGGGTCGGCGCACAGTCGGCGGCGGCGGTGGCCGCACTGGCGGCGCAGCCTCTGTCCTCGCGGCGCCCTCGCCCTCGGCCCCCGCCCCGCCCGGCCATGCCGCCGCCCGCGCCGCCCACCGTGCTGGTGCCGTCGGAGCGCGCCGTGGTGCTGCTGTCGTGCGTGCTGTCCGCGCTGGGCTCGGGGCTGCTGGTGGCCACGCACGCCCTGTGGCCGGACCTGCGCAGCCGGGCGCGGCGCCTGCTGCTCTTCCTGTCGCTGGCCGACCTGCTGTCCGCCGCCTCCTACTTCTACGGGGTGCTGCGGGACTTCCCGGGGCCCTCGTGGGACTGCGTGCTGCAGGGCGCGCTCTCCACCTTCGCCAACACCAGCTCCTTCTTCTGGACCGTGGCCATCGCGCTCTACCTGTACCTCAGCATCGTCCGCACCCCGCGCGCGCCCCGCGCCGGCCGCCTGCTCCTGGCCTTCCACGTCGTCAGGTGGGTGTCCGCCCCGGGCCCGCGCCCTAAGGGGCCCTGGTCTGCATCGGACCCCGCGGGGCGCCCCGCAGGCAGTGTGCGTGCTCCTGCGCTCCGCCCCGGGACGGGTCAGGCTGTCTGAGAGGGCCACCTGTGTGAGCACCCCCTTTCTGCCTCTCTCTGCCTGAGGCCCCGTCAGGGGGGGCCCTGGGCTCAGCCCCCGGAGGGAGGAGGGCCAGCACTGGCCCTCAGCGATCGCCCTGGGAACTGAGCGGCTCCTGGAGAGCCGAGGCCACTCTGGGTCCCTGGCTCCCGCTTCCCTGCGTTCTGACCCCTGTGCTGCCCCGGGGAAGCCCTGGACCGCAGGCTGGGAGAGGGGCTGGGGGGCTGCCCGGGTGGCAGAGCCTGCCAGCTCCCTCCCCACCCCTGCCACCTCTCTGCACCCTGACCCACGGGAGCCGGGAGCCGTGCGTTCAGCCGCTCCTAGGCTGCGGGTCCAGCTCGCCCCCTGCCCAACGCGGTGCGTCCGCTGTGCGTTTACAAAAGACTCTTGCCTTCCTCTCGGCTCTTCGCCGGGCGGCGGCCCCTGTCTGTTGCTCTCTCTGTCCCGGATGGGCTTGACTGGCTGAGTTGAGCAACGCTGAGGGTGAGGTTGAGGTCAGGGGCAGCGGCTGGCCTGGAGGAGGGCCACAGGCGGCCAGCGGATCTGAGCCCGGGGAGGAGAGCCTCGCCCTGCCCTGCGCTGGCCTGGAGGCGGCTCATCACGTCCCCGCCTCCCCGGAGGGAGAGTCCCCTCTCCCGCTCCCTCCCGGTGTCACTCCCAGACTCAGACACCGGCCGTCCTGCCCCGAAGGGAGACAGGACTCTCCCAGGCACTTCCTCTCCTCCCTCCGCAGAGAAGAGCCCCAACGACCGCCCTAATTATAGGCCGGCTCTGCAAAACGCTTGGGTGCTTTCCAGCGCCCAGGACAGTCAGCACCTCAGCAGAGACACCTGGGTCGCGGCAGTGAGGTCACAAGACTGCAAGAGTCACTTGACCTCCTCTCAGAGCCGCTGGCGGGAGGCCAGCTGGTGCCCCGGGAACAAATGCCCCGCGCTCAGCTGCTCCGGCCCCAGCTGCAGCCAGCCGTTCAGAGTTCAGACGGCGTTCGATGCTCAGGGACCGCAGACAGGGGTCTGTCTTCCCGCCCCTGGCAGCACCCCACCGGCCTCCGTGTCCATTCACAGACCGAGCCCTGGCCGGCTGGGTGGGTGAGGGCAGTGCATGCGCCAGGGTTCACGTGAACTTGAGAAGGCACCCGAGGCTTTCTGTGCAAGAGTCTCTTCTCTCTCTGCACTCTTTTAAAAATACTGAACCATATATAGGTTCCTTAGGAAAGCTGTCTTTTCTATAAGGACTGCTGCACCCGGCTTATCTTTATCACCACACACACACACACACACACACACACACTGAGTAGCCAAATTGTTATGATCTCTGAGCGCATACTCATCTGGCCACTCAGTGTGTATCATCACATATAATAAAAGGCTAATATGCAATGATAGATCCTCCCTTCCTCCAGTTAATGGACAGACGTAAACCCCACCTGCAGCTAGACATTCCTGAGCACTGAACCACCCATCAGCACCTGCCAAATACCCTAAGCCCCTGATTCCTAAGGAGTTCAACCAGCAGGCAGGCCTGCCAACTGCCCATGTCTCCTCCTCCTGGCCAGTCTGGCCGGATCCCACCCATGCACGAATTATACATACACACACACACACACACACACACACACACACTGAGTGGCCAGATTATTATGCATTCAGAGATCATAATAATCTGGCCACTCAGAGTGTGTGTCTGTGTGTGTGTGTATATATATATATATTTAAATGTGTGTGTGTGTGTGTGTGTGAATATATATATTTAAAGATAAACCGGGTGCATGCAGCAGTTCCTACAGAAAAGACAGCTTTCCTAAGGAGCCCGAGTCGCGAGTTCTTTCTGTCCGCTTCAGGGGGTCCCGTGATGCTTGGGAAAAGCTTCCTGAGGAGGTCCGTGTGTCCCCTCGGCCATGAAAAGGTGACCCTGTTCCTCCAGTTTGATGAACGGGATCCACCTGCTTCTTAGAAGAAAGAGGAGAGGAAATACCTGTGTCCACGCTGGAAAGGGACTCAGCATTTCCCTCCTCGGAGGCGGGAGCAGGGTTACTGGACGGAGAGGAGCGGTCAGACCCGTCTAACAGGTTCATCTGTGGACCGAGATCCTCCCGGACTGGAGGCTAACACCTGACTGGGCCCTGGAGCATCCGTGGATTGTTGCTTAAGTGCCCGTTGGTGTGAGAAATGCCATCTTCTGACATCGGCTAGACCCGTGGTCGGCAAACCCGCAGCTCTCGAGCCATATGCGGCTCTTTGGCCCCTTGAGTGTGGCTCTTCCACAAAATACCACGAGCAGTGCGATTGAAACTTCGTGGCCCATGGGCAGACGTCGGTTATCGGCCTGGGTGAGTCTGTTTTGAATAAGTGGTTCTAACGCCGAGCCACACACAAGGGGCCAAAGAGCTGCATGTGGCTCGTGAGCCGCGGTTTGCCAACCACTGGGCTATACTGTCACCACGTGTTACCACTTCAGATAACACAGTCCATCCACTTCAAACCTCTGGCCTTGAAACTAAAATATGATAACACACGAAGTTGTTAACTATATTCCGTAAAAGAGTTTTTATGAATTGATTATTTTTAAACTGACAAATATCCTGGTAAGCGGACAAAAGCCACATCCAGACAAACTGTAAAGGTCGGTAAATAGATGGGGAAAATTTGAGCCCCATTAGTTAGTACTCAAAGCAATGTGAGGTTAACATTTGAGGTACCATTTTTCTCACTGAATTAAGAAAAATGTACTAAGGCAGAATAGGGACGTGTTAAATGCCGATGGAACCGGTGTTTCCCCGCATTGTTCTTGGCAATGTAATTCGGAGTAATCTTGTGGAAAGCACTTGGCTCATACCGCTCGATCCGGTAATCCTATTTATGGAGACCTAGTCCGAGGAGATAATCCCGAACGCACGCAAAGCTGTGTGTGAGAGGAGCTTGTGAGGCCGTTCTCACGGGAGAATCCAAAAGCCACCTCAGTGTCCTCCAGAGAGAGCTCAGTGCGTTACAGATGACAGCCCGCGGGAAGGGTAGCCATTACCTGCTGTGAATTCTATGCACCTTTTTTTTTTTTTTTTTAATGGTTTGATAGCACTAGTTGGTTTGGCTCAGTGGATAGAGCATCGGCCTGTGGACTGAAGGGTCCCAGGTTCGATTCTGGTCAAGGGCACATGCCTAGGGCGCAGACTGGATCGCCAAGGTCAGTCCTCCTGTTACAGTTCCATCTTGTCCCTTGGCCTTGACACTGATTTTTTAGTTTGAGGTATAATTTGACAATGAGATTTTTTAAAAAATATATATTTTATTGATTTTTTTACAGAGAGGAAGGGAGAGAGATAGAGAGCTAGAAACGTCGATGAGGCACATCTCTTGCACACCCCCTACTGGGGATGTGCCCGCAACCAAAGTACATGCCCTTGACCGGAATCGAACCCGGGACCTTTCAGTCCGCAGACCGACGCTCTACCACTGAGCCAAACCGGTTTCGGCGACAATGAGATATTTTTAACTTTCCAGATTTCCCCCGTTATTAGCGTTGTAGCATGTCACCTTTATCCTCTCGTTATTTCTTTTCTTTTCCTCTCTCTCTCTCTTTCTGAAAGCATTTAAGAGTAAGTAAGTCGAGGCCCTGGTGCCCCTGAGTGTGTGTTTCTGGAAGTCAAGGACAGACTCCAAGGACCACATAGAGCCCGCCTAGTGTGGCTCAGTGGTATGAGCCAGGAGGTCAGGGTTCGATTCCTGGTCAGGGCACATGCCTGGGTTGTGGGCTTGATCCCCAGTGTGGGGCATGCAGGAGGCAGCCCATCATTGATGTTTTGTGTTTTGTTTTTTTAATATATTTTATTGTTTTTTTTTACAGAGAGGAAGAGAGGGATAGAGAGAGTTATAAACATCGATGAGAGCGAAACATCGACCAGCTGCCTCCTGCACACTCCCCCCCCCCCCCCGGGGATGTGCCCGCAACCAAGGTACATGCCCTTGACCGGAATCAAACTTGGGACCCTTCAGTCCCCAGGCCGACGCTCTAGCCACTGAGCCAAACAGGTTTCGGCCCATCATTGATGTTTTAATCTCTCTCCTTCTCTGAAACCTTTAATAAGTATACATTTACTTATTTTTTTAAAAATATATTTTATTGATTTCTTACAGAGAGGAAGGGAGAGGGATAGAGAGTTAGAAACATTGATCAGCTGCATCGTGCATACCTCCCACTAGGGATGTGCCTGCAACCAAGTTACATGCCCTTGAAAAGAATCAAACCTGGGACCCATCAGTCTGCAGGCAGATACTTTATCCACTGAGCCACACCGGTTAGGGATATATATATAATTTTTTTTTAAGGGCCAGATAGGCAGGAGGGTAGCCGGCGGCGTGTTGCAGGGCTGCGGACCTCACTGAGGCTCCAGTCCTGTCACACTGTCCGCAGCAGCAAAGGGAGTGTGGCCTGTGTGCAGACTTGCCCTCAGCCTCAGTCGGGACAGTCCCTCCGTCTCTCGGGGTCCCCACGCTGGCTCTGGAGGGGCGCCCTCTCCTGTGGCAGCGCCCTCTGCCCGGCGCCGGGCGGGTCCGGCCGCACCGCTGGCAGGAGCCTGGCAGGAGCGTCCTCTCTGCCTCCCCCGCAGCTCGGGCTGTGCCTCCAGCCTCGCTCCTGTGATCGCTTGGCCGAGGCGTCACCAGCCCGGCCGCCGCTGCAGTTACCGTGCTCCGCTTTGTCAGGAGGGAGCGTGCTGCTGCTCTCAGACTCCCGCACGCTCAGTCCCGGGAAGCCCACTTGCTGGCCGTCGGGGGGAGATTCAGGTCCGGGGAAGCCCGTAGTCAGTCCTCTCGGCTCTGCTGCGGGAGCCTGGTACAGACGCCCTGCATCGCACGTTCATGCA